TGTAGCTTTGTTGAGCTTGACGATAATGAAGGAGAAAATTCGGTTCATCTAATTCTAAATATAGAAAATACTATCAGAATTTATTCTACGATTAATCGTGTATATATATATACCTATACCACTTATACACTCTTTAAACTTGAATAAGTGCATGATTTCAATTCAGCGACTCACTTTTCAATTTTTCAGCCAGTGATTTTCTTTGAAAATAAGTGAAATTTAATGGATTATCAATAGAAATCCTTATAGAGAGATAAAATATGCGCGTAGAAAGTGCGCACAAGAGATTATATTGTAAGCAATAATTGAGAGGCTGATAGTAAAAATGATTTAAAATAACATTGGGAGCAAAAGTGGGATAAGTGACTTGGGAGCAAAAACGGGTTAAAATGATTCGTGTAATTTATTGATAAATTCATTATATTATCGATTAAAAAATATTAATTATAATAAAATATGCATTTTTTCCTATTGTTAATATTTTTTAATCGATAATATAATGAATTTATCAATAAATTACACGAATCATTTTAACCCGTTTTTGCTCCCAAGTCACTTATCCCACTTTTGCTCCCAATGTTATTTTAAACCATTTTTACTATCAGCCCCTCAATTATTATTGATGACAAACTTTCAAGGCCTTTGACGGTTCAAGTTGTTTATTATTGCTTATAAAATTTTTGCTATATGTTTCGGCTTGATGAAGCCCTCATCAGGCAATTACAATTTACAAAGAAAAACGCAGTTGAAATACAAACATTTATTTTTATTTCTATTTGATCATATTTTTATTTATTATAAAGATGGATTAACCATGTCAATCTTATTTAAGGCTTGTTAAATTTATAGTTCAAAAAATCACTTTCATCATGTAGTGAATTTTTTTAGGTAAAATATTAACAATAAAAAAAACCTAAAAGAAATTGACGGTTGACAATATAATCTTCACCATGTTGAAATTGATTTTTTATTCTTATATTTTAAACTTCAAATTGTGAATAAACCTTAAATGAACCTCCCAATTCTATAACTCGTTTAGCGCTCGGCCGGACGCTCTATTGGTAGTCGGGTAGCAGCGAGGGAGCCATTGACGCTCGCTGCTACCCGACTACTAATAGAGCATCCGTCCGAGCGCTAAACGAGTTACAGAATTGGGAGGTTCAAATAGGATTGACTCCATGTTTATAATCCTTATAATAATTGGAAATATATGATCAAATATAAATAAAAAGAAATGTTTGTATTTTAACTTAGTTTTTCTTTATAAATTATATTAAAAAAATTTTTGCCTGAGAACAGTAACCGAAAATCAGTATTTTTTTTAGAGATTTTGACATGGAACCGGGCCTTAATAAACGATTCATAGTTAATCGTGCGTGTATGTGTTAAGTGTATAGGCCAACGCACAACTAATTCTTGAACGGGAACGCAAACGGAATGGAATGAGTAAGAGAAGGACAAACATTATGTCTATCCTTCTCTTACTCATTCCATTACGTTTGCGTTCCCGTTCAAGAATTAGTTCTGCTTAGGCCTTATTATGCGCATATGGATCATAGTATAAGTTTCCAATGAGAAATTTACCACCGAGCTAAACATTTGACTAATATTGGGGGCCAATGATTGGCAACGGTATAGACAACTCAAGGTTTAGCCAATGATTTGCCAAGAATCATATTGGCTGAATATTGGACCATTATTGACAGTCAATATTGCCTTATTTTTGCAATTTTTCCACTGGGTTATATGCGTTAATGTAGATAAAAAAGTCAAATATTGAACTTTGTGCAGTTATAAAATTTGTGTAAGTGTCAATCAGTGCAAAAAATTACTGCAATAATTGTGAACAAAATGAAAAATTTTGTTCTTTTCATTGCAATTTAAATATTTTTGGACTTTCCTCGAAAATTTGATGAACAGTTTTCTGAATATTAGTGAAAGTATTTTATATTTTGGTTACTTTCTAAAGAATCAGTAAAAAGTAACTGATTCGAAAGCAAAAAGTCAGTCACTGTTAAAAATTGTAATATTTCTACTAATCTTTTAGTTTAAAATATATAATTATTAGTTATATTTATTTTTAGGTTCTGTAAAAATAACCGAACTTTTTGTGAAACTTCTATTAATAATTTCAATTAGTAAGTAAAATACCTCGCACTATTGTATTAAAAAAGGCTTTTGGTTACTTTTCTTGATATTTTTAAAATTTTTAGTCGAAAGTGTCCCGAATAATAAAAAGTAAATAAAGCGAAGATCAAGAAAAAAATAGTTTAGCTATAAACAAGGGTTGAAACTACCACCTCCCACGTATATTTATATACTATATTATAAATCTATGTTATTTATGACAAATTTCCACACGAGTGTTAGTTTTATATAAACAATCCAATCTTTTTTTCCAATTCAAATTAATTAAGAATTTAAAACAGACAGCAGTTTCATAATTATAACAATTAACTATATTCTTTCTCATAGTCTATAGGTAAAATAAGGTAGACATATTAGGAGCATAAAATATATTAATTATCTGTACCTAATATAATTTGAAATCTTATATTGAAGACAAAATCGAAAGTTTGTTATAGTATCTAATTTAAAAAAAAGTTTAATTTTCTTGTAAAAATTTTAAGTGAAAGTGAAAAAGATGTAGTTGGATTTACATATATAGATAAATTATGAAGGAGTAAGATGAGTACCTTGGAATCCAGGGACATCAGACGATCTTTTATGTTTCGAGTGGAAGGGTTACGAGGACAAGGACAAGCAACACTAAGGCCGTTTCTCTTGCCACCTAGTTAAAATTGAAATATTCCAGTGACATTAAGGGGATATTCAGGTGATATTGTGGAAATATTCCAGTGATATTGAGGGAATATTCCACGGTTACATTGAATTTTTTTTAAAATGTGTTTTTAATCTTCCTGCTTATTCAAATAACAATTTATAACACATTTCTATTATTTCAACATTTAAAAAAAATTCAATATAACCGTGGAATATTCCCTCAATATCACTGGAATATTCCTTTAATGTTACCCTCAATATCACTGGAATATACCCTGAATGTTACTATGGAATATTCCCATGATGCGGACATTTTGATTTTCCTGGAAGATCATGGGAATATTCCACGGTGGTATTCAAGGGTATTCAGGGGATATACCGTGCTGCTTGGGAATATTTTGAGTATAAGACTTAAATATTTAGTTGATCCCTTTTGTTTATTTTTATTTTAAATTTCAAATTATAACCTAAAATTTTTTGCTTCTTTATGTACCTTTCTTCGGAGTATATATGTGTCCTTGATTAAGAAGTAGACGCCGTGGTTTCTTAGTCTTTTGTCTTGAACTTTAACTAATTTTTTTGCGTCTCTCAATATAAGTTTATTCCAAACTTTTTATTCATCACTCTAAGAATTTAAACTCATTTAAATTCTGAAATTTTTCATTAACTAGTCAATCACTTTTAGATGCGGCATTGAAAAAAGTAAGTCCAAGTTGTAAAATGTAAACAAACATGAAAATGTAAGCAATTATTGACTAATTTGTGGCAGCATTTTTTTAAATACAAAGTACAAATTTTTCTTTCTCTATGTGGAAATCTGAAATTAATATATAAAACTACTGAAGATGACAATATAATGAAAAATTAAAAAATCACTAATTGTCTATTAATTTTTTAATATAAATAGAGACCTGTCGGAAATCACGTTTTCTTACATTCGGCGACAAAAAGTCTGTAGGGAAGTTTACAGTTGAGATAACTTCCAGTGAGACATTTGTTTATTACTATATAAGGAAGTTTTTTGGAAAATTTTAAGCCGTTTCATTGAAAACTTTGGAAAATATTGAAGTTTTAAGAAAGCGCGTGCGGCACCCTAGCGCGTCACCCGGCTCTGTGCATTTAATATAACCAGCTTTCCACAAGTTTAATATTAATTTAATTAAAATAATTAAATTAATAATTAATTTTACTTGATAATTAATTTATTGTTATTAAATATTAAATTAATAAAGTTATATTACATAAAATATTTCATACACAAAATTACCAATTAAACAATTTTTATATACATATTTAATACTTTTTAAAATTCATACTTCTATTTTTAGGTATGTAGGTAATTAATAATAAACATAAAATTATAATTGTTTTCAAAATTGCACATTACGTAAAAATTTAATTTTTTCTTAACATATTGAAAAACATTTGAACATCTTTGAGTACACATATTACTATAAATTTATTTATAACAAATGTTGATAACCAATGATTGGCTTCTAATACTGGCCCAATCTTTGTAGCCAATTAATAATCAAGCTTGTAAGAATCCGTTTTTTGCCTTGGTAGCCAATGATGGAACAATATTGGCTACTAATGATTGGCAACGGCGTGATCATCCCAAGACTTTACCATTCGCGGTCTAATATTGGGTGGTGGGGTGCCAATAGTTTTACCAAGAAAAACAGATTGGCTGCCAATCGCGGACCAATATTGAACTAATCGTAAGCATTGGCAAATTTCTCATTGGGTATAATAAAATGAAAAGTACACTGAAATATAGCAATTTTCACAAGTTTTGAAACAATTTTAAATTTGTTTTTTTGCAATGGACCGACAAAGTGGAACGTCTTCTGTATTTTAAAAAACAATGAAATAAAATACAAATTACAAAAACAAAAAAATTGTGTCAGGTGAATTTTTCGACTTGTAAGATTCTGTATAGATTGATCTAAAAATTTTTTTTTTAAATCAAGATTGTTGGTCGAAATTAGTAAAAACAACACAGTAAAAACAAAGTCTTAAACCGTTTACACCTTAAATTAAGTCCATATATTTTGCATAAGTCTTTCCTTTTTTAATTGGTCTGACTCCGTTTACACCTTAAATTCAGCCTCAAAAATAGGCTGAAATCAAGATTTCTTTTTTAGTGTGAACAATACGCTTCATTTATATCTACCATTAAAACTGTTTAATGGAGTTAATTTTTTGTATTTCAGGAAAAGAATTCTTTTTTAAATTACAATGTTTCTTGTATTCTGACATTACCACCATATCAACGTCAAGGTTATGGTCGACTTCTAATTGACTTCAGTGAGTAAAATATAAATATTCAATTTTTATTCTTTTAATCGATCAGTTTTGAAATTCGATTTTGGCAAATTTGTCGAATGCAATAATTAAGGGCCTGGATAGCATGTAACAACCTTCATGATCAAAATTGAAGCTGTGAGTAGTGCGTGTGGTTATAACTACACGCACTAGGGTGTAACTAGCGGGGCTAGTTGAGCATAGGTGTAAGTTGGGCAATCGAAATATCTCAGAAACTATGAACTTCTCACTAAACAAAATTGGTATCTAGGAAGGATTTGGGTTTAATTCAAACAGTTTTTTCATAACTTCACTTTTCTTCCAAATATTTGGGTTGGGGTTATAGTTGAACAATAGTTGCTCAATCACTGCGACAATGATAATTAAGTTCATATCGCATTAGGGGCCATTCATTAATTATGTAAGAACGATTTTGGCTAATATCCTACCTCCATGTAAGGACACAAAAGAAATTTCAGACCCCTCTGCCCCTTCTTAAGTATGTTTTTAAAAATCCTAATGTAATTAAAAGAATTAATTGCATCAATACAAATGAAAAATACTTGGAAACATTTTACGTAATAATAGCTTCTACCCCCCCCCCCCCCCATCCCCCGACATAAGACCTTGTAGAGATTTTATGAACCCCCCTCCCCCTAAGGATCCTTACGTAATTAATGAATGGCCCCTTGTACAATCAGCACGAAAATTAGCAGCAAACTTGCAAAAAGCTAGCCGTGCAAGATTGCTGTGCAAACATGTAGCAAGTTTGGTGCAAGTAACAAAATGTCCTCTTGTGGCAAGCTTGCAGGACAACGTTGGCGCAAGCTTGCTGCAAGTTTGCAAAACTTAATACGATGCGTAGTTTTAAACGGAAGCTCCTACGGCGGCGCAATAAATTTTTTAACCTCCAGAGCAGGGTGCCCTTTATGTGTATTTAGTAACAAATTGTTTCGAAATTTTTTTTTTTAGTATTATATACAAGCTTGCTTACAGCAAGCTTTTTGCAACTTCGCTGTAAGCTTGCTTAACTACCTTGCCACAAGAGGACATGTTGCTTGCACCAAACTTGCTACATGTTTGCACTCCAATCTTGCACGACAAACTTCCTGCAAGTTTTCGTGCTGATTGGGTACTGTCGTTTTTAATTTTAAATTTAATCGATCTGATGACTAACCATAAGTGTTTATTAATGTGAATGTGATTTAAAAGAGAAAGACTGAGTCGATTCCAAAAATTAAACTAAATTTAAGTTGAGGTTTTGTTAATTCTATATTTATTGTTAATCAGGGACTTTCACGGAATCAAAACAAAATTCCAAAACACTTTTGTTTTGATTCTGATCAGGATATCCCCGGCTGAAAAAACTTGTACAAGAAAATGTGCAAGTTCATTAATGAACATATATAAGAACTTGTACCGTTTTTTGTACAAGTTTTTTTAGCCGGGTCGGAATCAGAAGTCAAGTTTGTTTAGTTTTGATTCCGAAATCAGAATCAAAAGTCAAGTTTGTTCGGATTTGATTGCGAAATCATAATTCAAAAGTTAACTTATTTCCGATTCGGTTTAGTGAACGAAACGTATGTAGAATGTACTTATGATTTCGTTTTTTAAAAGAAACGCAAGTTTGCCAGATTACTTCCGATTCTCTAACTGAATCAAGTCATATGTCTTAAATTATTACGTCCTAAGTCTTACGTTTTAAGTCTCAAGTTTAGAGTCACATAGTGACGGATACTATCGGAATTAAAAGTCAACATTATACTTTCGTTTCGATTTACCAAACCGAATCAAAAGTACATTTTCATTTCATTTCGTTTACCAAACCAAATGAAAAGTCTATTCGATTTTCGTTTCGTTTACCATACCGAATTAAAAGCACATTCTACTTTCGTTTCGTTATAATTATCGAAACGAAATCAAAATTCGACTTTCGTGAATGTCCTTCACAGTAAAAACAAAGACTCAAACAGTTTATACCTTAAATTAAGCTCGTGTATTTTGCATAAGTCTGTCTTTGTCTAGTTGGTTTGACTCAGTTTAAATCCTTAATTTCAGCCTCAAAAATAGACTGAAATCAAGATTTCTTTTTTAATGTGCTGTTATCAATATTTAAAAGAAAATTGCTTTATATTTCATTGTAATGACACTGAAAAATTATAAATAAAAAATTGACAAAAAATAGTCATGGTTTGGCTAGAATTTCTAACTGCTCAATTTGCCCCATACCATTGCCCAACTTATCTCACCTGTGGGGAACGTTGAGCATGCTTGAAATACTTTAGTTAAACGAATCTAGCTCTTAAATTTGACATATTAGAAGTAAATTACTATAGAGATTTTTAAAAAGAGATAGATTACTTATCCATCAGTATGCATAGCAAGCAATTTGGACTTTTCGTTGAGAAGCTATGACCTATAAAGTAAAAAAATGATCAACTATCCCCGCTCTACTTCGTTATGCCATCCAGATCCTCAATTGCAATAAACTTACAAATTACATCATTAGTACGTACATATTTAGAATTTCAGTAAATGTTTCAATACACAATTTATTTATGTCTGTGTCAATTTGTCTTCGGCTTGGTGGAAAACCCTACCATTTCAGTTAAGTGTTGTAAACCATACCATATTTCGCGTAATTAAAAATGAAAAACATGCCATCTTGGTCGACAATGACTGAGATGGTATGTTTCATAACACTTATCTGAAATATGGTAGGGTTTTCCATCAAGTTGACGTTATGTTACAGTAATAACCATTTAGAACACATCTAGCATAATTAATTTTGATTTTATGTTACAGAAATAAACTTATGTTCAATTTATTGTTGATTTATGTTACAAATCAGTTTTTCAGTAAAAATTAACCATTCTGAATAAATGAGAATGAAAATAGACTTATTAAGGTGATTTGGTTAAAATATAATTCAATGAACTTGTCTATTTCACAAAGTTAATTAATTAATTCTTCAAGAATATGTCATTCAAAGACTCCGTTAAATGTTTGCTTTTAATTAATAATACAAAAGATGTATCAAAAAACTGAAGTCTCCGTCGCATCAAGGCTAACTGAAACATTTGGAAATTTTTTATTCACTTTACAGACATACATATATTTGCATATGCAATATGAATACATGTAGCTAAGGTCGCGTGTCAACTGTAGTTACTTTACGCGGCACAACTTGAACCTGAAATGAAATGCATCGTGCTGCACAGAGTCTTCATAGTAGTAATTAAAGGTGCACTTTTTCGCCATGACGTAATTTTCATTGATGTCGACCTTGAGAGTCAGTGGGTGATTCTGAACAAGACGGATAGGTCGCAAGTGCACGGATTAACTGTGGACGATGCAATTTTGTTTTTTGTATTCTCTCTCTCTCTTTTGCAATGCTGGATGATATCAAGATCAGATAGGATTCGCTGGAAGGCAGTGAATAACAGAAAATTCGGAGCTCGACTCTCAATGGGATGCTGCGCGGTACGGCGCGGCGTACCGTGGCATATCGTGGCGTCTCGCCACATCGATCGACTTTGCTTTGCAGTTCATGTGGTCCATACTATACACATACACCTTGCTACTGATGCCGTCCAGCCACGCTGTCCGATGAGAGTCCTCTCTTGCTTAGTTGTATTAGTATGTGACCCCACGTGACCTCGCAAAGGGTGTCGGCTTCCTCATCCTTTTCATCCTTCTGGCTTTGGTTCTGTTCAGCCGTATCGTCTCGGGTTAGGCTCCAAATCTAAGTTGAAATTTCGAGTTAAATGTAAAATGATCGTAACTAGCCTTTCTGTCACGGATCCTCATCCACAAACTGAACGAATGAGTGCGTTCAGCCTTTGTCAGTAATCGCACCTGATCTTTTGTCTCCCTCACCTCTAATTTTCGCCTCTAGTTAGATCTTTCTTTTTTCTTTCCCTTCTATCTGTCTGATTTGACTTTTAGTCTTCCAAAGAGTCTTTCACTTCCTCTTATCGTTGCTCGCCGTTTAGCTGGTGAACGCTAGTATCCTACATACATCTTCCGCTACCCTCATACCTGAGTCTCCTTGTCTAGCTCTCATCTTTTTATCTTCTGTCCTCTGAGTCTCTCCACCCTCGACGAGCTCGTCTGGCAGAGGCTTGGCTGGGAGTGGGTCGTTGAACTCCGCGTGGAGCGTTGCTTTGCGGCAAGGCGCACTATAGCTGCTGCCGGTGATTCGGATTCATTACAGAATAGAATCCTGCGTTGTGCGTTTGCATATATCGAATCGAAACATTATACCTTGAGAGAATTAGAGGGTGGGTCGTACATTTTTCTATGACAACTGACTAAGCTAGACAAGGGCAGAGTTATGCAAAACATAGGGGTTGAATTTAAGTTTTAGACTTTATTTTTACTATACACATCAAACAAAATTACGTAAGGTGCATTTCCTTATATTAGGTACTCAGGAGATTTAAAAAATTTCAGTTAGCAATAAATTACGTATGACTGAGGGTGGGTAGGTCTAAAACTTACAATCCCTTACAGATGTGGGTACAAGGGTCAAAATTTCTCAAAACCACTGAAATATATATATATATATATATATATATATATATATATTACTGGAACAGGTACTACGCTGCTAAAAACTAGCCTGCGACAGACTAGTTAGGAGCTCGCTTTCTCTCTCAGTACCATGTGATGACGCGTTTTGCGCCTGCGTACAAACGCAGTGAGAGAGACACCATACTCCTAACTATAGTCTGTCGCAGAATCATTTTCCTCTTACAGGCACAGGTGGAACTGCTTGTTTCAGTAGTATAATCTCTCTATATTATAAAAAGATTTCGTCGCTGTATTCCATGTCAAGTGTGCCAAAACCATGTTTTTGACAAGGTTAGGATAAGTTAGGTTATGAATGGGTCATTTTATATCAAGTGTAACCAACCATTGTACTAGCCATGTAAAAAACATGGGTTGGTTTATAATCTTTATGAATTTATGATCTTAAGATGGTAAAAAGTAGATGTTAT